GTGATGCACATACAGAAAACTGGTGGTCTTTGTGGCTGGGGGCGCAGTGGCCATCATTCCTCTGTTTGTAAAACAATCTAATTTGTTCCTCCGGATTGGGACTTTAATCATACGAATCAATTCGAGATTATAGGACAACAGTTTTATTTTTGTTATTTAAAAAAATATTTGAAAAAGAACGATCTCACAAATACAATACAATACACGGCAGGACACGCATCATACAATGTACATGAGAAGGGTGTACACGTCTGCATATCAGTCATACTCATTACACATAGTGGCATTTCCCGATTGTAAGGGGGAATCTCATGGGGACCATAATGGCCTCAAATGTCTTTTCTTTGTTCTTTCTCAGTTCTGAATCATATCATGCTGATCACAAAAATAGCTACAAAAAAGTCATCATTTATGTAAATTAAATTTATTTATAAAAACAGATTTTTTTTTTTTTTTGCCCGGAGAATATTTTGTGAAATGAGGGATGTGGCCCTCATACTGAAGAGTTTGGAGAGCCCTGATTTATAACAAGAAAAACACAATCTGGGTCAGCAACAAATTTGCATAAAAACATAAAGAGGAAAAATACATCCTAAACAAACGATTTTTATCAGATCCGACAAATAATGAAATCAATCATAACAATATACACTGTATTACCTCCAGTATTGGGCCGCCGGCCTTTCCACACACATGACCTTTAATGGCCCCTCCCAGTCTTAGTCCGTAGGGTTCAATATTGAGTTGGCCCCGCCTTTCCACGTAAGTGACCTTTAATGGCCTCCCAGTCTCAGTCCCTAGGGTTCAATATTGAGTTAGCCCCGCCCTTTCCACGCACATGACCTTTAATGGCCCCCAGTCTTAGTCCGTAGGGTTCAATATTGAGTTGGCCCCGCCCTTTGCAGCTATAACAGCTTCAACTCTTATGGGAAGGCCGTCCACAAGGTTTAGGAGGGTGTCTATGGGAAGGTTGGACCATTCTTCCAGAAGCACATTTGTCAGGTCAGGCACTGATGTCGGGGGAGGGGGCCTGGCTCGCAGTCTCCGCTCTAATTCATCCCAAAGGTGTTCTATGGGGTTGAGGTCAGGACTCTGTCCAGGACAGTCAAGTTCCTCCACCCCAAACTGGCTCCTCCATGTCTTTATGGACCTTGCTTTGTGCATTGGTGGGCAGTCATGTTGGAACAGGAAGGGGCCTTACCCAAACTCCTCTCACAAAGTTGGGAGCATGAAATTGTCCAAAATGGCGCTCACCCTAAGAGTTCCCTTCACTGAGTTCCCCTTCAAACTAGGGGGCCAAGCCCAACCTCTGAAAAACACAACCCCCGCACCATAATCCCACCTCCACCAAACTTTACACTTGGCACAATGCAGTCAGGCAAGTACCGTTCTCCTGGCAACCCCCAAACCCAGACACGTCCATCGGATTGCCAGACAGAGAAGCGTGATTGGTCACTCCAGAGAACACGTCTCCTCTGCTCTCTAGAGCAGACAGTCCAGTGGCGGCGTGCTTTACACCCGGCATCCGTCGCTTTGCATTGCACTTGGTGATGGAAGGCTTGGATGCAGCTGCTCGGCCATGGAAACCCATTCCATGAAGCTCTCCACGCACTGTTGTTGGGCTCATCTGAAGGCCACACCAAGTTTGGAGGTCTTTAGCTATTGACTCTGCAGACAGTTGGTGACTTCTGCGCACTGTGCGCTTCAGCATGCGCTGACCCCCCCGCCCTGTCATGTGACGTGGCCTACCACTTGGTGGCTGAGTGGCTGTTGTTCCCAGTTGCTTCCACTTTGTTATAATCCCCTCTATCAGTTGAGCGTGGAATATTTAGTAGCCAGGAAATGTCACGGATGGACTTATTGCACAGGTGGCCACCTATCACGGGACCACGCTTGGAGTCACTGAGCTCCTGAGAGCGACCCATTCTTTCACCAATGTTTGTAGAAGCCGTCTGCATGCCTAGGGCTTGATTGTATACACCTGTGTCCATGGAGGGGATTGGAACACCGGAATCACATGATATGGAAGGGATTGGAACACCTGAATCCATGATTGGGAGGGGATTGGAACACCTGAATCCCATGATTGGGAGGGGAGATTGGAAACACCTGAATCACATGATTGGGAGGGGATTGGAACACCTGAATCCATGATTGGGAGGGGATTGGAACACCTGAATCCCATGATTGGGAGGATTGCACCTGGCCCAGTAACGACCTGAATCTTTAACTGGCAATATAGTGTATATTAACATGTAAATTGATGGCGCTATGTAAGTGTACCTATAATAATAATAACAGCCGCCACCAATGGACTGTCCAACCTCCGAGATGATAGACTGGCCCGGGTATTGATTGACAGGAGGATTATTGATCTGTCTGTGTGAGGGAATCTCATTGATCTCAGGATTATAAACGTCTTATTCTCCATCTGGGTGAATTTGGGATTTATTACGGCTGGGAGGAATGCAGCATCTGAAGATTATATGGAATTTGTATTCCATTAGGGACATCTGTTCATGATAAAACCGGTGAAGTCTACAGTGATGTGGACTTAAAGGATAAGTGCGCTCCAAAGTTCATCTATTCTAAACCCAAGAAATAAAATGTATTATATTGCATCTTAGCAGCCCTTAGATGTCTCCGCATTAGTCTTCTTTTTTTTTCTATTTATTTACACCTGGTGACCCTGTAAGTAACTCACTAAGCCCCGTACACACAGGCCAAATCTTGGCCAAAATCAGGCGGTTCTGGACGACATTCGTCTACAGGTCCTTGTTTGACAGAAGCCGATCTCACTTCTGTCCAACATGAATGCTGGAAAACCAGCATCCGTTCTGCATCTGCTCAGCCAATGGCTGCGATCGCTGACCGGAGTGTTCTGGCAAGGGGTGGTCCCACTGTCAGAAAACAAATTGCTCAGTGGGACATCACTGTACCAACATCACATGGCTAGTACAGAGACCTCCTCCTGAGCTCCTCAGTCCTCAGCCAGAGGCCAGGTTCACACCTATGTAGGTTGTGTTTGACCCGTTTCTGCATTGCGTTTTGCGTTTTTGCATTTTTTATGTGTATAGCGGGGGTGTAATTTTTTTACATTTTCTTGTTGCTAGGCAGATTTAAAACTCAAAGAGCATCAAAAATGCGTCAAAAGAGCAATTCATGCTTTTCTGCAGCGTTTCCATTGAAGTCTATATCACCCAAAACGCAACTTTTTGAGTTAAAAAAAAGTCCTTGACCTTTTTCCAAAAAAACACAACACGAATGAAAACGCAGCGATGTGAACGTGTCCCAAAAATCATGTTAAATGGACTGTACTGCGTCTCTGCAAAACGCTTCAGAAAATGCTTAGGTGTGAACTTAGGGTAAGGCAGGCCATACATCAAAAACAGTCAGCGTTCAGGTGGGAATCCCTCCCCCAGCGGAATCAAGAGAAGGTGACTACATTCCTACAGAGAGCGGAGCCAAGAGAGGGTGGCTAGATTCCTACAGAGAGCGGAGCAAGAGAGGGTGGCTAGATTCCATACAGAGAGTGGAACTAAAAGAAGGAGGTTACGTTCCTACACAGAGCAGAGCCAAGAGAGGGTGGCTACATTCCTCAGAGAGCGTAACCACAGAAGGTGACTAGATTCCTACAGAGAGCGGAACCAAGAGAGGGTGAGTACATTCCTACAGAGAACATAGCCAAGAGAGGGTGGCTACATTCCTACTTAGAGTGCAGCCAAGAGAGGGTGGCTACATTCCTACATAGAGCAGAGCCAAGAGAGGGTGGCTACATTCCTACATAGAGAGGAGCCAAGAGAGGGTGGCTACATTCCTACATAGAATGGAGCCAAGAGAGGGAGGCTACGATCCTACATAGAGCGGAGCCAAGAGAGGGAGGCTACAATCCTACATAGAGCAGAGCCAAGAGAGGGTGACTACATTCCTACACAGAGCAGAGCCAAGAGAGGGTGGCTACATTTCCTACAGAGATTGGAGCCAAGAGACAGTGGCTACATTCCTCAGAGAGCGTAACCAAGAGAAGGTGACTAGATTCCTACAGAGAGAGCAAAGCCAAGAGATGGTGGCTACATTCCTACATAGAGCGGAGCGAAGAGAGGGTGGCTACATTACCTACATAGAGCGAAGCCAAGAGAGGGTGGCTACATTCCTACCATAGAGCGAAGCCAAGAGATGGTGGCTACATTCCTACATAGAGCGAAGCCAAGAGATGGTGGCTACATTCCTACAGAGAGCGGAGCTAAGAGACGGTGGCTAGATTCCTACAGAGAGCGGAACCAAGAGAAGCTGACTAGATTCCTACAGAGAACATAGCCAAGAAGGGTGGCTACATTCTTCCTACATTAGTCGGAGCTAAGAGACGGTGGCTAGATTCCTACAGAGAGTGGAACTAAAAGAAGGAGGCTACGTTCCTACACAGAGCAGAGCCAAGAGAAGGTGGCTACATTCCTCAGAGAGCGTAACTAAGAGAAGGTGACTAGATTCCTACAGAGAGCGAAGCCAAGAGATGGTGGCTACATTCTACGTAGAATGGAGCCAAGAGAGGGTGGCTACAATACCTACATAGAGCAACTAGCCAAGATAGGGTGGCTACATTCCTACATAGAGAGCGCAGCCAAGAGAGGGTGGCTACATTCCTACATAGAATGGAGCCAAGAGAGGGTGGCTACATTCCTACATAGAATGGAGCCAAGAGAGGGTGGCTACATTCCTACATAGAGAAGCAGAGCCAAGACAGAGGGTGGCTACATTCCTACATAGAATGGAGCCAAGAGAGGGAGGAGGCTATGATCCTACATATCGAATGGAGCCAAGAGAGGGAGGCTACGATCCTACATAGAGCGGAGCCAAGAGAGTTTGTAGGGAGGCTACGATCCTACATAGAGCGGAGCCAAGAGAGGGTGCTACATTCCTACATAGAGGGGAGCCAAGAGAGGGTGACTACATTCCTACACAGAGCAGAGCCAAGAGAGGGTGGCTACATTCCTACAGAGATTGGAGCCAAGAGACAGTGGCTACATTCCTCAGAGAGCGTAACCAAGAGAAGGTGACTAGATTCCTACATAGAGAGCAGAGCCCCAAGAGAGGGAGGCTTACATTCCTACATAGAGCGGAGCAAGATAGAGGGTGACTACATTCCTACAGAGAGCGGAGCCAAGAGATGGTGGGCTACATTCCTACCAGTGGGGATGGAAAGTTTGGGGCACCCCCAGCTAAAAACATTTGTATTAATGTGCCTAAAGAAGCCAAGGAAAGATGGAAAAATTTCCAAAAGGCATCAAATTACAGATTAGACATTCTTATATAATATGTCAACAAAAGTTAGATTTTATTTCCATCATTTACCACTTTCAAAATAACAGAAAACAATAAAATATGGCGTCTGCAAAAGTTTGGGCCCCCTGCAGAATTATAGTAGCATGCATGCACTGCCCCCGTTTGGCAAGTATCACAGCTTGTAAACGCTTTTTGTAGCCAGCCAAGAGTCTTTCATTCTTGTTTGAGGTATCTTTTGCCCAAATTCTTCCTTACAAAAGTCTTCCAGTTCTTTGAGATTTCTGGGCTGTCTGTCACGCACGGCTCTTTTAAGGTCTATCCATAGATTTTCAATGATGTTGAGGTCAGGAGATTGTGAAGGCCATGGCAAAATAATTTCAGTTTACGCCTCTTGATTTTGTAATCCCCACGTGGATGTTCGAAGTCGATGTGTGTTTAGGATCATTATCCATTTGTAGAAAGCCATGCCTATCTCTTTAACTTCAGCTTTTTCACTGATGGGCATCAAGGCCATTATCATCCAAAATTCTGCTGAAATTTTATTGAATCCATTTTTCCTTCTCTACTCCGTGATGATGTTCCCTGTGCCACTGGCTCTGCAACACAACCCCAACAAGCATGATGATCCAACCCCCATGCTTACACAGTTGGACAGAGGTTCTTTTCATTAAATTCTGTGCCCCTTCTTGATCTCCAAACGTACCTTTGCTCATTCCGGCCAAAAAGTTCAATTTTAACCTCATCGGTCCCACAGAACTTGTTTCACAAAAAATGCATCAGGCTTGTCTATATGTTCATTGCAAAGTTCAAACGATGATTTTTTTGTGGTGAGGACGTAGAAGAGGTTTTCTTCTGATGACTCTTCCATGAAGACCATATTTGTACAAGTATCTCTTTATAGTGGAATATGTGTACCACAGACTCCAGTGTCTGCCAGATCTTTCTGGAGGGATCGTGCAGTCAAACGTTGGGTTTTGAATTGTTTTTTCTCACAATCCTGCGAGCTGTTCTGTCTGATTATTTTTCTTGGTCTTTCCAGATCTTGCTTTAACTTCCATGTTCCTGATGACTGCCATATTTCTTAATTACATTCCGAACAGAGGAATATTGACATCTGAAAACGCCTTTGCTATCTTCTTATAGCCTTCTCCAGCCTTTGTGGAGCTCAACAATTTACTTTCTAATTTCAGTTTCAGTTTTTCTAGACAACTGCTTAGAAGAACCCATGTGCTGATTGTTGGGGCAAGGTCAGATGAGTCTGGGCCATTTAAAACCTTTGAGATTGACATCACCTGGTCACTTCCCAGACGATGATTGAGAACAATCCATGACACTGGCAGGTCTCAGCTTTGCAAAGGGGGGGCAGTGCATGCTATAAAATTCTGCAGGGGGGGGGCCAAACTTTTTGCAGACGCCATTTTTTTGTTATTCTGTTATTTCTGAAAGTGTGTAAATGATGGAGAAATAAAATCTAACTTTTGTTGACAAATATATAAAGAATGTCTAATCTGTAATTTGGTTGATGCGAGATGCCTTTTGGAGATTTCTTCCATCTTTCCTTTGGCTTTACTTTTATGCACATTAATACAAATTTTTAGCTGGGGTGCCCAAATTATCGATCCCCGCTGTACATAGAATGGAGCCAAGAGAGGGTGGCTACATTTCCTACATAAGAGCAAGAGCCAAGAGAGGGTGGCTACATACCTACATAGAGAGAGCCAAGAGAAGGTGACTACATTCCTACATAGAGCAGGAGCCAAGAGAGGGTGGCTACATTCCTACATAGAGAGGAGCCAAGAGGGAGGCTAACATTCCTACATAGAGCGCAAGCCAAAGAGAGGGTGACTACATTCTTACAATAGAGCGGAGCCAGAGAGGGTGACTACATTGTCTTACATAGAGCGGAGCCAAGAGTGGGAGGCTACGATCCCACATAGAGCAGAGCCAAGAGAAGGTGACTACATTCCTACAGAGAGGCGGAGCCAAGAGAGGGAGGCTAACATTCCTACATACAGTGGGGACCATGGAGAATGAACGTAGCCACCCTCTACAGGAAGCCAGATCTCAGCAGCAATAGACGGAATTTGACGATTTGGAGGAGGCTGAGAGCCATAGAAGGGACTTTTTATCAGGCGTTTAAGAATACAGATCGGAATAGAATGTTTTT